TACATATATATATATATATATATATATATATATATATATATATATATATATATATATATATATATAAATAAAGATGATAGTGGGGATGGGGGGGGGGGTAAGGGGTTGTTGATGCAAAATGCTGAAATAAATGACCAAAGAGATAGGAGGAGGAGAAAAATAGTGTTTTTTTGTGCTTCAAAAAGCATGGCACCCTGTAAGAAGTTTTTATGAAAGTCTTTATATAAAAAAGGAAGTACTCCATTGCGCAGCTGCTGAAAGGCAATCTAAAGCAAAGAAACAAAACCAAAATATTTTTTTATTATTTGTTAAATCTAACAAAAGAAATATAAGAAAAAAATTATTCACTGTTTTTATACGAGTTATACTTTTCAGTAGAATGTACTTTTTCTAGCAAGTTGAAAATTTTTTAAATTTTTTCATAAAAAAGTGAGCATGTAATGGTAAAGTTCAACTTGCAGTACAGCAATGCACATAAACTCCTTCAAAAGACCTCGGTAATCTGAACAAATATTTTTTATGATTGAAAAAATACGCTCTACAAGTGCAGATTCTCCTGGCAATCTATACTAGATCATATATATTTGCATAGATTGGATTTGATCATGTACTAAAATGAGAGGATATTGAACAATCTGCTGAAGCTATAAATATTAATATTGCTATATATAATAAGCTATATATATCATTGTATTAGTATCAAACAATATGGAAAAAATATTGTTATATATATTGTTTATATATATATATATATATATTGTTTATATATATATATATATATATATATATATATATATATATATATATAAACAATATATATATATATATATATATGTATATATATATGTATATATATATATATATATATATATATATATATATATATATATATATATATATATATATATATATATATATATATATATAAAAGTTATTAAAAAAAATCATTTTAACATACCATGGTTTTAATGTTATTAGTGTTGTATAAATGCATTTTGACACTAATTTACAGCCCTGTTGTGTAGCATTAAAAATCGTATCGTCTATCCATAATTGAGAACTTTGATAATGTTATAGTGTATTTTTTAAACATAATATACATGATTGTTAATAATCATTTATGTTTTTTTTCTTACATCATTGGTTGCGTCATTTTATTTGTTGTTTTTAAGCATTGGATTTTTTGTTATGACCGTCATGACAGTAAAAACATAATAAAACTTGTAAAACTTTAAATGAAAACATGAAACTCTGCATATAATAACATCAATATGTGCTAAATACACACACCAAATATTTTTTTTTACCATGCTGTTTGCTGCATTAAGTTTGACAAAGTTATTTTGTTCAAAAATGGTAAAAAGTAAGCGTCACTACTGTCACGCTACGTAGAGTTATTTTTTGAAAAAATTTGAAGACTTAAATGCTGTAACTTTTAAATACTAAAATATATTTAACATTTATGGAAAATTTAAAGTCATTTTCATTTTTGGTTTATTTTTAATAGCTTAAAGAGTACCAAGTGTTATGACCGCCACTCTTTCAGAATTGCCCATATATATATATATATATATATATATATATATATATATATATATATATATATATATATATATATATATATATATATATATATATATATATATATATATATATATATATATATATATATATATATATATATATATATATATATATATATATATATATAAATATATATATATATTTTTTTAATTTGCATACACTCCCAACAAGGCTGCAAGCAACCACTATTAAGTTGGGAGTTACTAGGAAAAAAAAGAACAGATTTATAGAGCAAGGAAATGGTTGACAGAAGACTTGAAAAGTTGAAGGTTGTATGAGTCAGGAAAACATAAAGATGGGAGAGAGTTCCAAAGGATTGAAGTGCGGGGGAAAAAACTAGATGAATAAAAGTTTTTAGAGCATGCAGAAACAGATACAGTAAACGAATGAGACTTAGCTGAATGACGAGTAAAACGAGAATGAACTTTAGTTGATGGAACTAGAGATGATAACTAGAGATGGAACTAGAGATAAGCAAAAAAAGTGAGCAAATGCTTATAAAAATACGCTATAGTAATGTATGTATGTATGTATGTATGTATGTATGTATGTATGTATGTATGTATGTATGTATGTATGTATGTATGTATGTATGTATGTATGTATGTATGTATGTATGTATGTATGTATGTATATATATATATATATATATATATATATATATATATATATGTATATATATATATATATATATATATTTTTTTTTATTTAAAATGATTTAACAAAATAAAAATTGGTAAACAATTTATGCAAAAGTTGTTTTTAATTCAATATGAAATATATTTTTGAATAAATTAATTTAAAATGTGTAACTTAATTTAATTAATTTTTTTATTGAGTTTTTCAAATATAAGTTAGAAATAAAGTTATAAAAATGACGTTATAACTCATAAAAGTTAAAACTGAAATTACGTAGAATTTCAGTCTATAAAAGCCAAAAAATTTAATAAGGTTAAAAAAAAATATACAAGATCTGAGATTTGAGGTTGAAATTTAAAGTATTTATCAATGTTTCTTAAACTAATTTATGTTTGTTGACTGGATGATTTACTCTATAAGGAAAAAATTTATTGTCTGATTGTGTTAAACGTTTTGTTATTTTGTGTTTTTATTGACTCTTTATGCATTTTTAATTTATGACCGTTTGCGCAACCACTAGCATTAAAATGTTCAATTCGGTTATGCAAATTTATTTCGTCAATTCATTTTACTAATTTTAACATTAACAAGGTAAGTTTGTTGTAAATTTGTGTTGTTTTTTTTAACAAAAAGATTAAATCTTACATTTTTTCAACTATGTTTCAAAAGTGCTAATTTGCTTCTACTAGAGCATGCATTATAAAAAATAATTAATATTTCTTCTTTTAAAACATTCTATGAGGAACTGAGATTGAGACTTTTTTTTCGTTTACATGGTTTAAAAAAAGATTTTTTTATTTTTAAATATGTGAATTTTTTATTTATGGTTTCGAATATGAAAAATGTTTACAATTTTAAACTTTCTAACCAGTGTCGGGAAGTCAGACTTTTCACAAATTAAATGCATGTATCGGAAAAAGCTTATTTATGCTCTAATGTTAAAAGAAAAAAAAAAAAAATTCCAACTTTCTGGGAAGTGGAAATGAATTGAACTCTATTTCCGATTTATTCCTATTTGAACTTTATTCCGATTTATTCCTATTTGAACTCTATTGATAGATTTATTCCGATTTATTCCTATTTGAACTCTATTGAAATCTATTTCCGATTTTCGGAAGGTGGAAAGTATTAAAAATTAATCACTTTCATTAGGTTTTTACATGACATTAAAATTATAATATCACTTTAAACTTGACCCTACTTCCTTATTTGGAGTAGGTAAGGCGATTTACAAATTATTCGAATTCTTTTATTTGAAATTAGCATGATTTTATCAGCGTATTATGTCCAATGAAGAGCTTTATGTTACCAAAATAATATACAGATGATATAATATTTTAAAATTGGCTTAACTACACCAAGTATACTTTCCAACCACTCCCATCAAAAAGTCAAAAAAAGAATTAGTCTTTTTTTTTTCAATTTTTTATATTTAATAAGATTTCCTTTTCATAAATAATTGATTATATATAAGGCATGTTTTTGTACTGTTTATCTCCTGCGTTTCTTGAAGTTACTTGAGAAAGGAACAAGCCTAAACTGCCATCCAGCTTGTCTGGTGCAGATTGTTTTGTCATGATTTTCATTAGATTAGGTGTGAATTCATTTTGTTACATATTTTGTAATAGAGTACACGTTGTAATTTTTAAGACATTGACAAACTCCTTTTCTGTGCTTTTAATTTTTTCTGCACTTACCATTTTAAATTAAGTGGATCTAAACTGATTTCAATATGATTTTGTTTTGTGTATTTATAGTGTTAGTCTTGTTAACTAAGTGGCAGCTCAAATTGCTAAATAGGCATTCTTTTATTGCTTTTTCTATAAGATCAACAGATTTAGTCTCAAGAAACAAAATTCTCTTAGCAACAAAAGATATTTATAAGGTATCATAATTTCTTCCTAAATATTTTTTTGTAACTTTAAAAAATGGTTCTAGAACTTTTCTTCCTTATGTTCTAACTTTTTTTATTTTATTTTTTTAATTCTAGCAAATTTTTCGGATTTTCTGAATACCGCTTTAAAATGCGGTATATATATATGCGGTAGTGGTGTAGTGGTAAAACACTCGCTTTATAAGCGAGAGGTTCCGACTTCGATCCCCACCACGCTCCTGGTAGTACCGCGCTCAACTTGTTTCTCCGCGCAGCGGCCAGTTCGTCAAGGTTCGTGTTTCAGAGTTATAGAGTTGAGAGAGGGTTATAACCACTATTAAGTAGCCTCCTCGTCTGTAGTGGCCTTCTCGGCCTTGAGGAGGTGAGTAACATTAAAAAAAAAAAAAAAAAAATGCAAGTATACATATTTTCAGCTTTTCATTAAACACAGAACAGAAATAAAGGCCAAAATCATTTTTTTAAATGACCGCTTTCTGTTGGTTTAGGGTAAAGTTAAAACAGTTATATCTTTGAAGCTGTTTGGAATTAGATGATGAAATTTTTAGCATTATCGTAACTTATAAAAAATTCTTAAAAATAGTGTAAAATCAGCAAAATCTAAGATTTAGGGTTGCATTTTATAAAAAAATTTGTTGTTTTTACATAGAATGGTCCCAAAATCAAATAACAATTACATCATAACCAAACTACAATTACATTATCATTTAATAACAACTACATTATAGTCAAATAACAACAATATCTTTGGCAAACAACAATGAAACTGCTACTGTTAACTTAAGCTATATTATTAGATAACACTATGTTAAAAAACATAATTTTTAAAAAACAACACAACATAAATACTAAAGTAAAAATATTGTACCTAAACAAAATAACTTACCAGAAGAAATCCTAATACTATCCAAAAAAAACTAATTGGTACTCCTAAACCCAGAACAACTTTTTCTTCTGATGTAATTTTTCTACTGACACCCAAAATCAAAACTAGCAAGCTTATCTAAAAATAAGATGTTGAAATATAAATCCTTAAAGTTTGTAAAGATGATAAAAAATTTAAAAAAAAAAAAAAAAAAATTCAAAAAGTTTGAAAAAATATGCTTTTATTTTATTCATTTATTTAAGAATAAAATTCCAAATTCCAAATTTAAATATAACTTTCAAAATTCAAATAGAACTTTGTCAATCTAAAAACATAAAACTTTTTATAAATACAGAAATTTACAAAAATTAAATGTTTTATTTGATTTTACTCAAATTTTATAAAAGTTTACAAAAATTAAATATTTTATTTGATTTTACTCAAACTTATATATTAAATACACTTTACTTATCATGGTTTAAATTTTTTTTAGCTACCTGATGTTTATATTCCTATTTTTTAAGGGAATTAATTAAAAAACAACATTTTTTGAAAAATATCTGTTGGATGACCTTAGAGTGTAGTGTATGAGGTAACACTGGAATTGAAATATTTTTAAAAGTTTGAACATTTAACTGTTCCTAATATTAATTTAAAATATATCTTGTTGGGTCTCAAATGAAGTGAATATAAAAATTTTAAAAACGGTACTAAACTTTAAAGATATCTTTAGACTTATTTGAATATTACTAAACAAGAAGCTAAATCTGGGGCAAATATAAAAAAAAATCAATTACTAATAAAAACAAAATTAAAAAATATATAGAGATTTAAATTGTCCTAAAGCATTGAACCCCCTTCTCCATACCTCAAATAATACCCTGATAATATTCAGAGAAAATTAGAATAAAGCAAAAGACAAAAACAGTATAAAACTGAAATTCGGTACATAGAAATATAGAAATATAAAACAGATTATATTTCTATGAATGAAGACAGTTGTTGAATGAGCATAGAAAAATACTCCGTTGTTTGAGCTATGGGAATTCTATATCCTTTCTGAGGCAATTTTAGGGGTAAAAAGTGGGTCAATCTTGAAAACTATAAAGTACCATTGAATTTTTATTTTTTTAAGGGAAATTGTATTTGTTATATTAATTACAATTACAATTAAAGTTACACGGTACAGATATGAACCGTAAGTTCATCATTAGCTAGCAAGCTAGCTCGTATAGCTGCGATAATACAGCTACGGAAAATGATGCAATATGGTAACTATGTGAGTTACTAGTCTAGTTTTATTTTGAAACTGTCAATAGTAGAGGCATTGACAAAATTATCCGTCAGAGCATTCCAAGTATTTGCAACCCGATTGTTGAAAAAGTTAAGTCAAACGAGGCAGTTGCTATTATTTTTGCAATGAAAGCGTTTGCGGTGACCATAGATGATTTGATGAGTATATATAAAAAATCAATATTTTTAAACATTCTATTTTACCATTTTGCCTTAAATTTGTGTGTAATAAGTGTGATATGGTGAGTGATGTCTGTAACAAGTCTAATAACTTAATTTCACAATTTTTTTCAACTAAGTAATCAAGCTTTTCAACTGTAGGGTTTTTTTCAAAAACAGAATAAGATCACAAAAATAATAAAATCACAAAAGGTTTCTAAATCTCGAGATACTGATATATAAAGATATGTGAAATCAATTGTCATTCCAGGTTTAAAAGTTTTGAAATTTTTATGACATTTTTTAAAAATATTAGTAACTTCGGTTTTGGCATGTGGCTCCTAAGAAATCTTTTGTTGTGTAGCAAGAGTTTCAAAAGCATTTTGTTTCAAAATTTCATAAAAAATATTTCCAAAGCTATATTCTTCTTTTGTTTGAATGCTATTAACTCTAGTTAAAATTTTTTGGAACTTCTGAGCAGCTAGTCTACCTTGTTCAAACCAAGTAATAGAGTTTGACTGTTGTTTTGTTTGTTCATATATTGAAGGTATTTGATTAATAGTCAATTTACTGTTTGTGCAAATCTACCTAAATTGGATTTAATGTCTAGCCGGTCAACCCAAATAAATGTTTTTTCAACGTTTAGTATATTAAGTGGGGGAATGATTAAATGTTTAAACTTTTCTAGCTATATTCAATTGATTCGACTTTTAGGTGCATATTCTTTAATTGCGACATATAGTATATGCCGCAAAAGATTAAAGAAAGGGTAAATGGTATTCTTTTTTTAATATTTTGATATTTTTTCAATTCTAAACTTTGTCATTAATATGATAGGTTTTAAATTTTTTTAGATTGCATTTAAAACTTTAACTTTTTGAGGTCTTAAATTTTTTTTTTTTGTCTATCAAGTCCAAGTTTATATAACAGAAAAAATATGTTTGACCCATGGCTTCTCTTTATTTTTCATAAAAAATAGGTTTTGAGTGTAGCACTAAATTATCTAACTTTTATTCTGCTAAAAACACTATGACCTAAATGCAAGCACTAAACAAGAAAGAAAAAACAAAAATATGTAAACAATTAAAGACCACACGGGTAAAACCACAGATGTCCACTTTTTGAAAATTTCAAGCTTTATATATTTTTATGATATTTTAGTACTAAGCTATTTTAATTTAAAAATTCATAACAAAAAAACTATGTTTTAAGCTTCTATGGTCATTTAAAAAAAAGGGCAACCACAGTTGTCCAATGTTTACCGCGTAAAAAACAAAGTTGTCCAAGTTACTGGGTTATTCATTCACAGTTGTCCAAAATAGGAAATAATTACTGCGGCTTGACCCGAGAATGCCACCTGTCCTGGGTGAATCTACATGGTCCAAAGATTCAAAATATATAAATATTGAAATCTAGTTACAACGTCCGAGCAAAGAAAATCACTTTGAATTTTTTACCCTTTTTGCACATGCTCATGAGATTGTGCATTTTTACAGCACACAAAATTATGCATTTTTACAGCATACAAAATTAGTTGAACAGAAAACAACGGGTACTGATGATAGATATTTACTTTTTCAAACTATATTTTGTAAATTATAAGTTTATAAAAATGTATTAACATAGAACCAGCAATATTTATTCTTTTTGTTATGTTTAGCATTATCTTGTTATAATGATTGTGCCTACCATCTTAATGATCATTAAAACTGAAGAACCCTATTTTGACATCCAAAAACGTTTGATTTTGTTTTGTTTTACTAAAAAAACGAAAAAAATCATTCTAGGACTTCAAAAGTTGAAAAAATCATTCTTCGACTTTTTTAGTATAAAACAACGTAATATTGCCAAAAGATCAAAGGTAAGATTTATTTGAGTTATTTTTCCTTGCATTCTGAATTGAAAAAAATTTGCAAAAATTTTGAACATATGAACAATAAACTGAATAATATATCACTTCAAGATAATCATTTAATGATCTGAAATCAATAATACTCAAAGTAAATATCAAAAATAGTCATTAGAAATCTGTGTAATTAATATTTGATATTGTTTTAAAGCTTTTCCCACATTCTCTGCACTTTTATGTAAAACAAACTTTATTTTATTGTGTATTTGCTACTTTTCAGTAAACAATACTCCTATTTGAAATGATATCTTTCTGATATTTCAGTGAACGTCAACTATGCCTAACCAAGCTAAAGATCATGATGCAAATCGAAAAACTGTTTGGTTATTGTGCTTTCAAAAATCAACACGTCAAATTACAACCTTTCAAGAAGAAAGAATTTGTCAGATTTTCCAACATCAGATAAACTACCGAGACCCACTGTTCCCCAAGGATTGTGTGAAGCTTGCCGTTCACTCTTGAGACAAAAAGATGAAGGAAAAGATGTCAGCCTTCCTGACCTGTTTGATTTCTTGACAATCTACATGAAACCAGAAACCAAAACAGCTGGTCAAGAATGCTCATGTCTAATTTTTTACATAGGAGGTTTGAGGGACAATTAAAAAAGTCCTATTGTCAACCATGAAGCGTAAGGAAGAGTTCCTCTGCGTTGTACAACATGTCTAAGTCCTATTAGAAAAGGACTTCCACACAACTGCAATAGGTTCACATTTCGCGAAAACTTGAAAAAGTTGGCCAGTGCTGATCTCAGCGCTTCTGAACAGATTGCTTTGAATGTAATTACTTCCAAAGATGTCTCTCCAAAAAGAACCATTAGGCCAGCTCAACCAGGTGGGGGTCGCTCTTACCCTATCACCCCAGGTAATAAAACCTAAGTGAAATATTTAAATTATCATCGCTTTCTTTTCAACCAATTAAATATTTATTCTTTATTAACAGACCCAAGTCAGTTGCTTCGTCTGGTAAGACAAGTCTTACAACAAATGATCTTGTAAAAGTTCAACTCAATACTGGCTTGTCGAATCATGGAGTAAAGAAACTAGCAATGACGTTGAACCAGACATCTGCTCAGAAGATAGTGGAGCCGAAATTCCGTCCAAAGTTCCAAGAAGCTGGGCAAATGCTATCTGAATTTTTCACTTACTCGGTTCTTGTAGATGCTAAAGAACCAAGACAAGGGTTGTCTGGCATATCAAGGACTGCCGTGCACTGCAAAAACCTTGCCGATCTTTTGAACAAAGAACTCAAACATCGAGATATAGATGACAACCTTGTCAAACTTGGCATTAATAGTGGGGGAGGATTTCTGAAATTCTCCCTCAGTGTTGTGAGCAAAAGCTAAGGTAAAAATGCAAGCTCCCCACCACAGAAAAAACTCCTCACACAATAACTAGCCAAGGACAGCAGTTCCAAGAGGCAGCTTCTGGTTGCAATTGCAGGTTGCAATTGCAGGTTGCAATTGCAGGTATGCCTGAAACCTATGAAAATGTGAGAGCCATTTGGTCTCTTATTCGAGCTGACATTCCGTATCACATTTCATCTGATATGAAGTTAGCCAACATTTTGGTTGGTCTCCAGTTGCATGCAAGTACCCACCCATGTACATGGTATGATACAAAATCAACCAATCTGAATTGCTCAGGGAGACAGAGGACTATCGGCTCATTGAAGGAGAGTTTTGAAAATTTGAAAAAATCGGAAAAGGTCACCACAAAAGTATAACTGTTTGGCAATGTCATTTATGAGCCGGTCTTCAGCGGAAAAAAAGACATCCTCA